CTCCTCACCCCACCAATCATTTGATGCAGAGAACCTCCATTTGCCCATCCAAGGTATGCCACAACCAACAGATATTTACACCTCAAAACAAGGGCACCACATCCGCCCCCTAGAGCAACAACAAGTTTCCCTCGACAGCAAAGAGGGTAATGCATATTCACGGACTGAAATACGGTGCCTATCAAAGTGGAAGGCATCAAGGGCACAACAACCACGGCAACTATGTATTTCATTTCACAGCGAGTGAGAGAAAGAAAGAGCATGTGCAAACAGACAGAGCAAAACACATATAGGCCAAAACACGCAAGCAAGCAAGCAAACGTTTCTGCAGAAAAGGCACAAATCAACATGCAGAGGAACTGCAACAAACGCATAGGAACAAAGAAAAACTGAGCTAGAACTACATATCATCCATCACACACCATTCCCAACCCCCCACTTTCCATAGACTATGTGACTTTACATCCGCGATATGCAAGTGACAAGACGAGTCATCCTGCACGTGCCTGGGTACATGGCGCATGGGATCATGTTCATTACACAGGCACAACAGCCCTAGCCATGTTCCTAGGCCTGTTAGCCTCCAGAGTCCATACACCTACCTAGTTTTCTTTCTGTATAATGACAACCTAAAACCTTGTCCCCATCAAGGATAAAACGCACCAGACCAATTTACTCTTAGATTCAGGGAATAGGTGGTCGAATGCCCTGAGTCCAGGAACAGCCTGCCATACATGTCCATATAGACGTTTGCGCAGACAGCAACTGCTCCTAAAAGATTCTTGACCCAGAGCTCCTAACGAAATGAGACAGATTGATCAGAGAACTACGTCAAACCGACAGGGCAAGTTGTTACATGTGTTCTGAATGAACAACTGCAGAGCAAAATTGGACAGTTTTTCAGCCAAAGCACCACACACAGCGACATGCTCAGGAGGCTTCGTCCTTGCTTTTGTCTTACCTAACGTCACCTTACCACACCAAGACGTTCATGAGGGAAATGAAACAACAGACACGTGACTTCCATAACTGGGTAGCTTGCGAGACACGCAACCAACATGAAAACGAAACGCATGCAATTGGAACACCAGCATCCCTAAGGACCCAACCATCGACTTGCATACTAAAATCCAATGAGAAGACACACGCGGAATTGGTAAGACCATAGACCACAGGCTTGGATGTGAAGAACTGTAACAGCAGGCTTCACTGCAAGCTGGAAATCCCACCGCTCAAGGACACTGTAATGACCCCTCAGACCCACAGAATCACACCCTGGGAACTCTGCTGTTTTCCGAGTTTTGCTGCTGGAACGAGTGACTTGCTGAGATTCCCGTGTTCTGCTGAGATTTCTAAGTACGTGTGTGTGCATGATTGCTGAGTTTCCGTGTGTTTGTCTGACTGGATAATGTCGGGATTGTGTGTGAGACCCACCAGGGTACTTGTGTGCTGAGAAGGCCTTCGGGCCTGGTACTTACCTGTGGCCGTGCTTGTGTGGGGATGCAGCCCAGGCTAGGCCCGCGTAGGATGGAAAACACGCAAGTGGCGGGTAGGTAGGCAGAAGAAGTGGTGGTCTGCGTCTTCGCCTTCTTGGTTGGCGCTGCACCCGGAAGGCCCCAAGTGGGGTGATACGTCGTAGAAAGACTCCAGGGGTGTATGGTGGCATGGCGGAAATAGTGGGAGACGCGTCGTAGCTTTACGTTGGTCCTTTGAACAGCAGAGATAGGCTTTGTTACTCCATCATAACCACCCCCTGTCCAGGTAGGAGAGGGGAGGTGCAGAATGGCTATGGTGGACTTCCACAGTGGCTGGCAGTAAGGAGAGGAATCACACATTGATCTTGGTTCATTCTTTCACTGATCTTGTTATTATTATTATTTTTGTTAAGAAGTTGGGGATTCAAAGGAGATTGGAGATGGTGGCAAGAGAAGACGGATTTGACGTTGGACGGTTCCTGGTGCACATAGTCTTCTTCTTCTTCTCCCATTCATTTTTATTTTTCTTCCTTTGTCTATTTCTCTTTCCAAGTTTTTTCATTTCATTTGCAATTGAACGGCATCGTCTTTCTTTGAAGTTTTGCACTCTGAGATAGCCAGGATCGTAACAACACAAAAAAATCCACACTTTTGCAGACCACCTGTGTTTTAAACTATCGGCACCTGAATCGTTGAACCTGAATTTTTCTCTAGTCTTTCACATTGCAGCTTGCAAACAGTACCATTGCTCCTCAGAGATATAATCCTCTTTGGTTCTATTATGCTCTTCCACCATGCAGCTTAGCACCTTCGTGGGAGCCTGGATTAGGCGCTTCATATCTTTCCTCCAGCCATTCCTGGCTCCCATGCATTCCATTGGACTACTGTCTTCCCCCGAACATAACCTACGATCAGTACATCCGTATTTGGCCCAACCTGCAGTCCAGGTGCAGCACGCATGACAGCAGTACGTTCTAGTCCGGTGAAGACTGTAGTTCCCACAGGCCCTTCGACAAACACCTATCCAGGATTTTGTTGTACGTCTCTATGGTATGTATATAACTCTGCAGAGTCTGTACCGACCTTTTGTGCAGCCTCTCTTAGATCAACTGCATGCATGTACTCAACAGATTGTACTGAACTAGTCCCCATAAGCCTCCCACACAGACTTATTATATACTTACATCCAAGATGTCGCGTTATGGCGAAAAGCACAGCGTGAGATCACTGCCTTCCTTTTCCCACAGTGATCTTTCAGCTTCCCACTTTCGTTGATTTCACGCGCAATGTGGAGCCTCTTAAATTCACATGCGTTCTGCCTTCGCGGGCCAAAACAAACTTGGCTATATAGCTCGGTTTCCACAAAAGTTATTGACATAGAACATGGAGGGCCATAGCCCCTTTTCCACAAAACTATGGACGTAGAACACATGATCCTTATTACAGGTAGACCACTTGATAGCCTAAGGGTGGCCTAAAGATTGATAACAAATTACTAGCGTTTTGCAAGGTTTCTAGACTTGGGTAAAGCCATGAATTTACTTTCTTCCCCCAGATACAACGTACGTTCATTATAACTGTATTTAGATTGAACTACATACCCCAAATACAGCTATAATGACCGTACGTTGTGTTGGGCGGGAAGAACATAGTCTCATATTCCAGCCTTACATTTCAAAGTTCAAACGGATTGCTTTCTTTCACTAGCTCACTGGACCAGCCCTTGCCTACTGTTCGTGATTCCCAATCACTGATGGCTGATCCATCCACACTCGTCACAACTCTTTCCCCCTTACGCTATCTCCTGCGACGACTCTCTCGACCATTTCACCCCTTCACCGCCCCGCCCCTGCCTCCCCGGCCCCCACACATCTTCATCATGTCCGAACAACTTCCTCCCCCACCTTCCCCGTCTTCCTATCACAACTATTTCTCCCTCCCTTCCCCCTTTCCTCTCTATCACAACTCTTTCCCTTCTCTTGCTACCCCTTTACACACCCCCCCCACCCCCCCAACCCCAACCCCTTTGTC